GAATACAGAAAATCATCAAGAAGATGACACAACACAACTAAGTGGAATTCTTCCAAAAAATGCAGGGATGGCTTAACATATACAAATTAATAAATGTAATATACCACATCAACAGAGCCAAAGACAAAAATCACATGGTCATCTCAATACATGCAGGAAAAGCTTTTGACAAACTCCAACACTCATTCACAATAAAAGCCCTACAGTAAATCTTAATAGGTGGTCTTTACCTCAATCTGATATAAGCCATCTATGATAAACCAACAACTCATATCATACTAAATGGACAAAAGCTGAATGTTTACACTCTGAAATCAGGAACAAGAAAAAGACAATCACCACTTTTATCCAATGTAGCTCTGGAAACATTAGCCAGAACAATTAGACAAGAGAGAGAAATAAAGACAGGAATAAAGACAGGAAAAGAAAATTTTAAATTATCATTACTTGGAGAAGTCATGGTAACTCTACACAGAAGACCATCAAAACTCCACCAAAACATTTCTAAAACTAACAAAAAATTTCAGTAGTGTATCTGGATACAAAGTTAACATTCAAAACTCAATACTATTCCTGTATATAAGCAACAAACTCACCAAGAGAGAAATTAGCAAAACAACACCCTTTATAAGAGCATCCAAAAAATAAAATACGTAGAAACCAACTTAACAAAGGAAATAAGCAATGCATACATTGAAAATTAAAATACTCTGAAAAAATTAATTTGAAAAAAATAACAGAAAATAGACTCAAACATAAATACTGGAAGAAAGATAGCCTCTTTAATAAATGGTGCTGGAAACTGACTTTCCACATGCCAAAGGCTAAAACTAGACTCATGTCTATCACCACGCACTGAACTAAAATCAAAATGGATCAAAGATCTAAATATTAAAACAGAGACAATGAATCTACTGGAAGAGAAAGTAGATAGAAATCTTGCAGCCATAGGTGTAGGCAGAGATTTCATAAACAAAACACAAACTGTGTTGGAGTACTTCAAATAATCAACAACTGGGATCTAATTTTATTAAAAAGTTATTCCACATCAAAAAAAATCACTAACAGAGTGAAAAGAAAACCCGCAGAGCTGGAAAAAATTTAGCCAACTGATTCTCAGACAAAGGACTTTGATCTAGAACATATAAAGAAATGAAAAAATCAAGTTCCCCAAATTTAAAGATCTAATCCAAAAGTGGAAATCTATATGAACATGCACTTCTCAGATGAAGAAATACAAGTGGCAAATAAATATATTTAAAATGTTCATTGTGACTGGTTATTCAAGAAATACAAATTAAAACAGCACTGAGATTCCATCTCACTCCAGAAAGAAGTGAGATGTCTTATGATCAAGAAATCAAACAAAAAATGCTAAAAGGGCCATGAGGACAAACAATGCTTGTCCACTGTTGCTGGGAGTATAAACTGGTAAAACCACGGTGGATATCAATATAAAGATTCCTCAGAAAACTAGGATTAGTGGTGCCAGTCAACCCAGCCATTCCCCTTCTGGATATTTTCTCAGAATAATTGAAAACATTATACCATAGAGATGAATATGCACCCATGTTAATAGCAGCACGATTTATAATAGCTAAATGTTGGAAACAACCCAAATGTCCATCAACAAAGGAATGAATAAAAAGAAACTCTTCAAAATTAAAAAACAACTGAGATGGGAGAAAGGAGAAAACAAGAAAGGGAAAGTACATGTGTGTGTAGAAAATAGCTAAGAAAGTAGCTAATTATACTACTAATTTCTATCGTTCATTCAAAAGAACAGTTTGTGTTTCTATTGTTGTATCAATTTTTCATGCCTATATCTTATAATATGAGCAACTACCTTGAAGGTAACAATATGGAATATATTAACCATTGTTAATCTACTATTATCTTGTTTTGAAATTTTCTATCATTGTTTTTCTTTTGCTTCTTATTTTAAAATAAAAAATAAATTATGTGTAAAATTGTATTTAAATTATCTGTGTAGACATTCTGATCCATTTTTAGAAGCATAATCAAATTTAAGAACAGGACAAATCACTCATATCATTGGTGTAATTTAATATAAAATTTGGTAAAACATCATTCAAGCATATGTCTATGTTTATCATGCTACAGAAAAACCTAGAGTTCCAATTGCCTGTGCTGAAATACAGTGTATCAAGAAGAGACTGGAAATATTTTCACAGTAGCTTGCAGACAGGGTTTCCACTAAGACTTTGGAGGGGGTGAGGAAGGGAGGCTGGAAATGACATTGAACACAGCCCCACTTTTCATCACTACTTCCTCTTCAATATTAGCACTGCACTCTTTATTCTTCTTTAATTTATGCCTTAGAATTGATTATGATAAAAAAATTTTGCTATTACCACCCGCAGAGACGATAGGCTTGAATCTCAGTGATTTTTCTAGGTTGTGGTCCCTCACTGTATTTAATAAATCTATATTACCACCATCTATAAATCTATTAATAAATCTATATTACCACCTCCAGGGTATGGTAATCTGCTATACAAGAGATGTTTGTACCTTAGTCTGCTAGCCAAACAAGAAAATTAGCAGATTGTCTCAAATGAACCCTCCTGAATGGATGAATTGTGAAAAGATCATCTGACTATTGTTTCTTTTCTACCCCAAGCACTTCGAAGAAAGTCTGTAAATAACAGATACCCAATAAATTATTTTGAATGAATGAATTTTTGTTTTCCCTTGGACATGATCTATATGGTCTGCAGATGAAAATGAGAGCATCTTTTCAATCCACTGAATTTTCACCTACTGGGCACTACTTTGACACTACCATAAACTACTGAAGTTGCAATAGATTGTCTTTGATGTGGTGTTGCAGGTCCTAACTTTACTAGGTTGCCTGATTCTTATTTCTTCATCGTCTTAGTGGATGGACTGACTCAAGGAATTGTTGGTCACTTTGGCGTTGAGTGTGGACTCAACCTGTGCTTCTGAGTCTCAGGCTCCATTCTACTGTCCTTGACAGAAGATGGGTGCTACTTCATCAAAAGTTGAATTCCTTCTTCTCTCGCTGATGCATGCTTAGGAATGTGTACCATGAACTCCAGTCATTCTTCATGCAGTAGTCCTCTATTTCTGGACCAGGGGTTAGGGTTAGGAGAGTTTTGCTCAGATCCGTGGAGTTCATGGCTCTCAATCCATTGTGGTAAGAAGTCACACACACTATGACAACTAACTTCGTAATCAAACTTATCCATGTTAAACATTTATTAAGGTACATTTTCAACCTTGTAAACCTTTTCTGTCCTATTGTGGATTGCTTCTCAAGAATTCCTCAAGTTTTCAGTGATAAGCAGCTTATACTGATAAATTTAAATTTGGCAGCTATGCATCCTAGCTCAGGGAACTGCACTGAGTTGGAAAGTGGTGAAGGCCAGATCAGAGTTTGTCTCTCATCACGTTGAGAACACTTTTATTAAATTGCAAATATTTTGCAAACTGAATTCTTGGATGTGGAAGCAAAAACACTCAGCTTAATAGTTTCCAAAACATAACCACAACTTTTAAAAAAAAATCAGTGAATCCCTAAAGTGCCATAGATTTACTTTTTCACTTGGTACTCACATCAATTTCCCCAGATTTTATAATTGGAATTCAGTTCCAGACCCATTACGTTTCTTCACTGTATTCCAAAAACTATCTGGATGACATTGCTGATGGGTCAGCTCCTTACACCAATATTTCAGCAATCTGGAAAGTAGAGTGGGACTCATCTCTGAGGAGATGACTTCAACCTAGGCAGCACTTGGCTTTCACATTCTAGATCCCAAATGTAGAAACAAAAAAAAATATTTCTTATTTCGCTGAAGACATGATTTCATGTTGGGATCCTGACTTTGCACATTTAGAAAATCAAATAAAACTGGAAACAGAACACAGATAGCACAACAAAGACATGAAGTGGAGAAGACTCTTTGTTTATAAAGAGCTCTTGAAAGTCTCAAAGGGCAATGAAGTGGTGACGGGACAAGAGCATGGACTCATGGGCTGTGTGGCCTGGGTCTTGGTACAGAGAAAGTTAGATCAAAGGTCTTAGTCTTGCTATTTGTGAAATACAGTTATTAAAAAAAAGACTTAATTTCAATTTTAAATGGATTTATGACAGTCGCCTAGGGATTCCTCACATATGAGAAGCAAATTAGGTTTTGATCATATAATTACACCAATTCATAATGTTTTCAATTCTCCTCATTTTACCCTTTTTCTTTTCTGTGTCTCATAGCCCATGTTCTTCATATTTTTATGTGTTCTAAACTCTCAGTCCCACCTCTCTGTGACCCATAGCATTTTAGCTTTACCTAATTCCCTTTAGCTACCTCTCTGTGACCTATTACAGGGTAGACAGAGCTTTCTGTTTTTCTTGAGGCCATGCTTTTCTTTAGCTAGCTGAATTTCTTTCAATCTTTGCATTATTGGTACTTGGGGACAGATAATTCCATGTCATGAGAGACTATCCTGTGCTTCTGACATTTAGGAGCATCATGGTCTCTACTCACTAAATGATGTTTCTAAGCTCCAGTTTTGACTTTCAAAAATGTTCTAAGGTATTTCCAAATAGTCCCTGGAAATCCAGATTCCTAGTTGAAAAGAATGTCTTGTTCTACCTGGTTTTTGGAAGAATACAAATTCACTCTTTCTTAATTGGAATGCTAGAAACAGCTCATCAAAAGATATCAAAAGTAATCAATAATGTCAAAGAGTAAGGACAGGAACCTGCAGAGTCCACTCTGAGATGAACACGCAGGCCACATTTCCTTGGAAAAGCCATTCATTCTGACACAGTCCAATCCCTCTCCTGTCCCCGACACTTTGCAAATTCAGCAGGAAAAGAACTAACAGGTTTCTGATTTTTTTTCTTGTCTAGAGCTATGATTCTGTAGCTTCCTTGTGGCAGCACTGGATCTGAGGGGCAGGGGAAAGACCCAGTCCCGTGACGTAGGGAGAGTCAGTCAAGACACCAATGGTAAGGCAGCAATGAGCTTTTAATTTTTTACACAGTGAGGCACAGGGAAATGTACAATTCTCAGTGGAACTGTGAGATGCTTACACTAGAAAGGAAGAGGCTGTTGGCACAGGTAGTTCAGAACAGTGGGTGAGAACCCCCAACAGTACCTGAAACAGACAGGGCAGGACACATTGGAAAGATGCATAAAGATGAAGCGGTTCCTCGGCTCCGGGGATTCTTGTAGCCTCTGAAATCTCTTCTCACAGCATCTGGATCCAGGTCAGCAGCAGCCCCCAGAGCTATGGCCACAGCCAGAGCCCCCAGACTGCCGACCACTGTCACCATCACAGGAGTCTGAACTCCGCAGCCTGCACCTGTGGGACCTGCGGCGCCTGTGGTGGCTCAGGCAGCAGCCTCCCTCAGAGCTGGAGCTGAGGCCACCGCAGCCCCCAGAGCAGGTAGCAGAGCAGGAGGAGGCAGCAGGCAGACACTGTGCTGGGCTCTTCTTGGGGCATTTGGGGGAGGGGCACTTGAGAGGGGGTTGGCACTGCTGCTGGTTCTGCTGGCAGGACATCTTGGTGCAGTCAGGGAACCTGGAGAGAGCAAGGAAAAAGCTAATTGAAAAAGTTTTAGGCCAATGGTGTCTCTGGGATGATCTTATAACATCCTTGCCCCCAACTCTAGCTGTTTCCTGACTAGCCAGGAAAAAGGAAAATGTGTGTCCCTTTAAATTGAATGGAAATACATTTCCTTCCACTTTACTGTGGAAGAGCAGGTGACTGCTCTAACTGGACTTGGAGTCCTCTGTATTCACAGAAATAGTGAAGTGAATTCCCAGCTTTGGAGAGTAGCTCCTGCAGAGCTCTCTGGGCCCCTGTGTGTCTCTCAGGAAGGAGCTAGGGGGCGCTGACAGCAAGGACTCAAGCATCCCACAGAGCTTCCCTGCCCCCTGTCCCCATGCCCTGCCTCCTGCTGCCCTCCAGGTTCTACCCTCTGCTGCCTCCATGGCAGACACCTCTGCTTCCCTCTTCCCCTCTGCAGTCTGTGCTTATCTTCCCACGCTCTCCTGACTGGGCATCTGTGCCCTGCTGGATGCTTACCAGATTCAGAGGAGGCAGCAAGAGGAAGAAGCCTGTGGCTGAGGAGGCTCTGTCTGAGGAGGCCAGGGCAGGAGCCCTTTTATCCTGTGTAGGGTCAGTGATGCACAGGCTTAGCATGCTGCTGCTTTCACGCCCAGCGGAAGTGACCGAGCCCAGCAGTCCCATCCCAAGTCTCCAACCTCTTCCTCATGCTTGCCATGACAACTGGCATGAGAGAATCAGTAAATCTTCATTGATTACTTTCCAGATATGATGAAAATCTGACATTTCTTTCTTTTCATGTAAACTTCTCAGATGAGATAATTTAAACAGTGTCTTTTAGGGAGGGGCAATGTAATATAGAGATGGATGTGACACATTTCCTGCTTGAGTATTTCAAGTTTGACTGTAATAACAAAGAAATAAACATATATGTCTGATGCTGAGTGATTCACCTGTGATATTACTGTCTCCAAATACATCTATTGCTATGCAGGTTCTCAAAGAGAACGAGATTTTTAAATCTAGTCAGATACTAACTCTTGAGGATGTTGGGTGATCTGAGACCACTGAGCCCCAGGGATGAATGTAATAGGTAATGGATGGAATCATGCCTTATCTGAGGTGGGTGGAGACCCTCAGAGAACTAAAATCGAACTAGGATTATGTGTATGAGTAGAAAAAATTGTGAAAGAACCTATGAGAGCTGAGATTACAAGAATCATGCTTAATATGAAAAAGCTCAATTTGTCCATATTTATCCTCCTGAAAGATTTATGATATTGGAGCATGGAGTATTTAAGAGAATTGACGGGAGTCGTGAAGGTGATTTATTTTGTTGTTTATGAAGGTGGTGATATGTGGATCCCAAGGAAACAAATCTGATAATTGCTAAGATTTCTGTAGAATGACTTTGGGGAAGCCTTAATTTATTTTCTGCCTGCTACTGGAGATGAAATTCTCAGTGAATTCTATCAGTATCACAACAGAGGCATTTTGCTCTTTGTTTCCAACAAAGTTACAGTCAGAATTAGAACTTTATTCAGATTTATATTAAATTATAGTTTTTCAATGAAGCATTCTGTAGTTCATGCATGTATTCTCTGTACTTTATAGTTTGTGACCTTTGGATGCAAAATTTCGAAAAAGTGTACATAGTCTTCAACTTGCACACTTTAAGGTATGGCAGTTCCAAGATTTTGGTTTGAGTCACCCAAGAGTGAATGACTGGCATTGCTCTTAAAGAATATGGATTGGCATGAAATGAAGGGAAAGGGTTAGAGTTGGTATTGGCTCTCTTCTCTGATATTCTTTAGTCTCCAAGAACCTCTTGTTAGGAATATATTTTAAAGCTTAATTTCAGAACTATGTTGGATGTGGATTTATTTCACATTGTTTAAGTTCTACCACTGCTAGTATGTTGGAAGAAATAATTCATGGTAGGTGAAGAAGGTCCATTTTTATACCAGCCTGGATGATGAAAATGACAAAGGACACAAGGCATTGAAAAGCACATCACAGTTTTCTCCAGTTTTTCTACTGATGGAGGCCAGAGAAGGCAAGATGGGCAGAAGACAAATCTAATGAAAACATGCTACTTTGGAATGCTGGGCCTTCGAAAGGTTCTATCCTGGTCCCTTGTTGGGGCGCTGGTCAGAGGTCTACCTTCTGTCTTTACTCCTACCTTCAATATTTACCCTGGACTCCTTCTTCTGCCACCAGTAGCAATTCTCCCCAGTGAGTTATCTTCCACATAAGTCATTCATTTCATATTACGTCATTTAGCAAACTTATTGAACAACATGAATAGTTCCCATCCAGAGAGCATGAGGAAAACTTTTGTTGTAGAGCAATTATGTTGCTGGGTTTGTTGTATTTGTACAGATGGCTCACTGTCTGGGATGTGTAGGCTTGTGTTGGTGAATTTGGAGGAAGACTTGGGGAACTGATGTTCTGCTCTGGTTGGGAGAGGTCAGAAAGCAGAGACAAGGCTTTTCTGATAGAGGATCTTAATACTTTTTAACTAGAGAGCAGAGGCAATGAGATAAGGCTAAAGCTGTCATTGGTGAACAAGTAGAAGTCTCTAGTAGTAGCTAAGAAAAGGGGACAGTTTGGTCATTTTTGTTGTTTGGACAATGATCTTATATTGTTGATACTTAGAGCAGTTTTGTTTTTGTCTTGTTCCCTCAGAATCACAAAGTTATCTGGTCTGATTTTGGAATTTTGTGAAACTGTTTATACTCAACATCAGAAGACCATCATCCTAGCTAGTAAAGCCACACCAGCTGCTGCTAGCACTCTAGGGCCACTCCTCTTTTCTTAGCAAAGATTTTGTGTCAGGTGTCATGGCCAGGAGTAGGGATGCAGCAGTTAGCAGAGTCTCAGTATTTCTATTCTGAGTTAACAGGCTAGAAAATGGAACAAATGTAGAAAAATTGATTATATCAGGGATAAAGGATACTCAAAGGAGTTCCAAGTGGCTCGGGGCATGTAAAATATATATGGGAGTCTGGACACTGGGGAAGTGAGCTTTGTTTCTTGAGGTCATTAGAAGGAAGCCTTGTCTCACATGTGCCTCCCCATAGGAGCAGCAGGAGCTGGGAAGAGGAAGCAACACTTGACAAAGGGACACACATCACATTTTGGGAAAGTTTCCAAGGATCAAAATCTCTTTGCTGCTGCTTTAAACGACTAGTTTTATCTCTTTTGTTTCATTTTTTTCTCTTTTATTGATATGTGTTTGCAGCGCATAATGTTTATATTCCTTGGGTAGAGCTGATACACATATCTTCATTCCTTTTCCCATCTCCTTTCCCTCATTTCTTTTCTCTCCTCCATCTCTTTTATGAAACACAAGGGGATGTCTGTAAAGCTTTCCTCTAGCCCCTTCCCTGACTGCCTGTCTTAGAAGTTTTCTCATATGATGAGGAGAGGGAGCTCATCAATCCCACCTTCACCTTGATGAACTGCTCCTGTCTCTCATTCCTTTCCCTCAGGAAACAAGGTATTCTGCAGGCACCATGTGAAGACAGACAGTATCTACAAAGTGATGGTCTCCTCACTTATCCCAAAGCACGAGAGAGTCAGTTTCAGGAGTCTCATACTGAGAAACCCTGGCTTCTATGGTTTCACAACATTGAGGAAATATAGACGGATGAAGGCTCGAAGAATCTCATGAGTTAGTCATTCTAATTGGTGATGAGAAAACAAGCAGTGCTGGATCTCAGGTTTAGTTCCTTGGAGCACATGTCAGAAATCTAGGATGAATCAACAAGCACAAAGTTCTTCTCCCTTTGCATACAGTTCAAAGTGCCTTTCCAGTTCTGTCCCTCCCATATCTGTAACAATTACATTCTGTGACAAGCAGCTGAGACACTGCTTAAGAAAAGAGGGGGAAGTAGACAGACAGTGCCACGTACCTTCAATGGCAATTTGGAGGAATCCACCTAGGTATGTATATAGATTCTAATTTCCTCCTGAGATTAAATTTTAGTATTTTGAGGTATATACTCCTCCCTAACACGTGAGAATGCATGAGTGCTTTAAGTATGTAAGAGTGGGTTGCAACAGAATTTTTTTCAGTGTTGGATATTGGCTGAAACTAAAAATAAGAGTTACCACTTATTCTCTTAAAGTAAGCCTAGAGGAAGCCAAAGAACATCTCTGTAGCACTTGCTACAGAACAGTGAAGTTCTCTTTATTCATCTAACTAGATATTAAGAAGGTTGAATTCTGAAGAGGGCTTTTTAGATAGGGAGTTAATGTCTTAGAGGAGAGTACTGTGGTTTCTCCTCTGTTTTGTGTAGGAGAGAGGAGGTAGTTATCCTCCTACCACAAAATCAATTTAAGGCAAGATTCACAGTGACAATTTATAGGTATAAATTGTCTAAGGTCCCTAAAAGAAAGAGATACCGGTGTATTCATTTATTTTTTGATTCCATAGATTAAACCCAGGGCCTTCAGACTGAGATACATTCATAGCATATCCTCCCCTCATTAGTTTTTCTTTGCGACAAAGTCTTGCTGTGTAGTTCACGATGACCTTGAGTTTACTCTGTATTCCAAGCTGACCTTGAATTTATGAGAACCTCCTGCCTCAGCTTACTGAGGGATTACAGTCATGGGTCACCAGACCAGGCCACCATACCTGGCCCTTAGTTTTTATTTTGAAACTGAGTGTCACTAAGTTGCCCAGTGTGGGCTTAAATTTGTGATCTTCCTGCCTCATCCTCCCAGAGTGCAGGAATTATAAGTGGTATAGATATTCATCTCCACACCTGACTGAATGTCTGCTTTGATAACATACTTGCTGATGTGCTCTCTGATCCTGTTGTTGAAAGAAGACAACAAACCAAAGAGATAGGACAGAGTTTTAATATAAGGCAGCAGAGGATATCTGGGAAGGAAGATCAGCTTACAGTATTGCTAGTGTTGTGCTTCGGATGGTGGTCTGGTTGGTACAGTGGTTTCAGCATCAAGTAGTTGTGGCTTGTGGCAATGAAGATATGGGCTTAGGAAGAGCTCAGGTTGTACTGCGCATCCTATGTCTAGGAATTGTACCAGATTCCCTAAAATGACTAATTAAAGCACCCTGTAACATGGCCCTCATGTGGAGCCTGCCATACAGAGGAAGCAAGCAAGCCAACCGCAGAGGAAGCTAGTGGTATAGTAAAATATGAAATACATTTCCCCTTCCATTTCCCATCTCCCAGTACAGTGGAGGAGAAAGGGTACTCAGAAGAAATGTGGGAAGATGAGGAGGAGGAAGATGAAGAAGACGAATAGGAGGAGGAGGAAGAGACGAGAGGGAGAAGGAGTGAAAAAATCAATTGCCTCTCCTAATTTTAGTTCCTTTGAGGATCCATGGGCAGTGCTCAGGAAAGGGAGGATTTGAGTTTGAGGATTTGGAACAAAGTTAAATTTGGTTGCTCTAGACTTAATTATCCATGAAACTAACTGAAAAAAGTTGAATTTCCTTCAAATACTGGCTTTCAGTCAATATAACAGTGGAGAAAACAATGACTAGGAAACAACAGCAACAGCAACAACAACAACAACAGCAATTGGCTCTTGTTTTATCACACTGAGTTTGGAACATTTAATGCATGGGCTAAACGACTCT